TTAGTTATAAAGAAAATAGGTTAAATTTTAGAGATGGAAATACATTTTTCTTATCCATTTCTGTGTCACCTCTGTAAAGAATCTGCTTATTGTGGTATCTCTGTACTTGTTCAGTGATTAAATGCATGATTTGGTAAAGTCTGGTCCTTTATAGTCAACAGTCAATAGAAATATAGGAAGCAATAAAATATTACAAATTTATGGAATCATTTTCCATAACCATTTGAAAATGCCATTAAATTATACATTCTCTTTAACTCATCACTGAAACAAGAGTATGTGATAAGAATATTTTATCTAAGTGACTATCTGCTTGGTTTCAGTCCCTCCCACTGTGTCATGGCATTTTGCTATAATGTTCTGTCTCACTAATGAAATGCCACACTCAGAAGAACTATGTATTCCCAAATAAATTCAACAAAAATGAACTTACAATTGATGGGTGCCCAATAGTAATGCTGGATTATTTTTTAAAAACCTTAGCTCTGTGACAGAAGCCAGCTATATTTACACCATCAAAAGAATATACTAGTCAGGTGTGAGGATATGATAAAGAAATATAAAGTTAAATATCCATTGAGATTTGCCAAAGTGAAGCATGTAAAATGTGGGTGCTACGGACAGCGAAGCCACTCAGTTGACAAACATTTCCCCCACACCTTAGAAACAAATATGTTAATACGCAGAAGAACACATGCATTTTTACCATTATTATAAGGTTGCCAGAGTCTGAATCTTGTAGCATTGGTTTGGGCAGTGTATGGCAAAGGAACATTAATGAAAAGTATACTGGTTGTTTGAGGGAAGTAAAATTCATCCATCAGGTGCCAAGTGATTCCTCCATTGATGGAGAATTGTAATAGAATAGAGTGAGACCTCTCTGGGGTACCTAGGAAGAAGATAACACAAGCATAAAACATATTGTGATAAAATGGGGAAATGGTATGTTTTTAGCTGATTCTTTTGGTGGCAGTGCAAAAGCTGGCTTATATTTACATAAAGGTTTTACAGTCCAAATGCTTCAGAAGCAACTTAAGATGATGACAGGTTGGGCTTTCTGTATGAATATATCTCAAAACACACACCAAATCTTGGATTTGCACACAATAATATCTCCCTTTCTCTCTCAGATACATCTATGCACCTTTCTGTATTTAGGAAACATTACATCAAAAATATTTGATTCTACAGGCATCAAAATATTACAAAGGGTCAAACATTTAAATCTCAGGATACAAACAAAAAACCCACTTTAAAATTTATTATATCCACAATAACATTTTCAAGAAAATTATTTAGTTGATATGAAAAGTCAGAATGACAAAGAATAGGCTTTTTGTGGGTTCACATCTGTAAAAAAAAATCCAAATTTTTCATAAGTTAAAAATTTGTTAATTTAAAATTCTTATAGCTAGAAAGTAGTGGTGGAGAGGCTCTGGGACATAATGATAAATTTAACTACCCCATATCTAGTAGGATTACTACAGCTACATGAAATTATTTAAAATCAGTAGTTTTCTTACCATTACATTAAGATATATTAAAGAAAAACATTTGTGAACATTTATGTACATAAATCTATGTTAGCTCTTCCATATAACAAAGCTCATGGGCCTTAAATCTGTTATTTTTTTGTGTGTGTGAAGGAGGAACTGTGCAGGGGAGAATTTTTTTGAGGGAAAATAATGAATTCACACCCATAGAAATGGCTTACCTTTTGCTATAAATCTAAGTGAAAACTGGACATACACAGTATTGGTACAATCTAGATCTCTTGAAATAAGCATCCTTAGTCCTTCCTGAAAACAAAACATCCATGTTAAGCAAGCTTAAATTTCATTTGCAAAATTATATTCCTTTGATTTTATGCAATTAACTTGCACCAGCTAAATAACAGATACATATAATGATCAAGAAGCAAATTTTGTCCTATTTAAAAGGAAAAATGAAAGATCCTTATTTCCTCTGTCTTAATGGCCTTCATTTCCTGTGCCTAAATAACACAATTTCATTGTCTCAACTCTAAATCATACTTTGCTGTGACTTTTACAAAAAGCAGTGCACAAATGATAGCATTATATATCTACAGGCCTTTTTAAAAATAGCCTCCTTTGATCACAGCATGTTGTGAGAGAAGTAAGGAGGAAGCAGATGGAAAATGAGCCAAGTGCTCCTGCTGGAAGCCGGGAACTAATAGGTAACTTTTTCAGGGTTCCAAGGAGTCTTAGGAACTTACTACTCCTTTGCTCACTCTGACAGCCCCGGGAGCTCTCATTCAGGCTGACACAACAACACCCCCCAGTTGGTCAAGTTAAATAAGGCATAACTAAGGCAAGTCCCCAGGCTTAGGCTGTAACCATTCATGCAGAGAAGCCAACGAACGAGGAAAGAGATCACATTAGCTTTAGTAATTTTTTCTGCTAATTAACTATTTCTGGTTGTCTGGGATTGACAGCTCGAAAGGTTCTTTTCTTCATGTGTTCATATGATTGCAGTGACAGCCAGTAAAATACAATTTCACTGTGCAAATGTCCTCAGGTCCAAACAGGCCTTCAGTTTGTCAGCTGCAACGTCTGAATGAAGAGACTCTTGAGTGATGTATGGCTGTGTGATACTGAGTGGACATTGTCAACTGATTTCTTACCAAGTAACAAATACCAAACGTAATTTTAGCTAGAAAGAGCAAAACTTTCCTCTTCTTAGCATTCATTATAGATCATATTCCTTAGTAGCTGAAAAATTTTAAATAGAGCTAATTTCACAATAGCAACCATGTATTGAGTGCCTCCCCATGGTGGGTCCTAAAATAGACACTTTACTCATTTAAAGCACCTGGCACTCCTAGAGAAAGACATTATTATTCTCATGATCCAGATAAGGAAACAGAAACTCAGAGAGGGCCTTGCTCAAGATTACGTAGTTTATAAGAGGTGATGGTAGGATTCAAACCCAGATATGTCAGATTATGAATCTTATCCTCTATCCTGTAAAAGATATCACTGTTTTGTCTACTAAACCATTTTGTTGGTCTGGGGTGAAAAAAAATCCAGAAATGGTAAATTCAGAATTTCAGAATTATTTCATATTGCAGTGAAAAAGCAATTGCATTTATTCACATCTTATAACTTCACAAAGCATAGCCTCATACTTCTAGGACAGAAGGTTGCCATGCAAAAGCTTTATATTCCCAGTCTTCATTTTTCTTTCATGACTAATAATTTACTGCCCTGCTCAGTCCATGATACCTAATCAATGTGTCTTCTTCATGTCTCAATGTCTTTACCTTCTCCCTCATACACTTACAAATACAAAGCCTTGGATTCTTTTACGGCTTCGTGCCATGTGGAGGTTGAGGTTGAGGTTGAGAGGAAAGGTGGCTCCTCAGCTTGTAACGAAAAAGCTTTCAGGTGGATATTTGATAGGTTCAGCTAATAAATGTCCCTTGCTAACATCAAGATAAAGGAATATGATTACTCTTCCCTCTTGATTATGGAATGCAAGTATAAAACTGTTCCCATGGGCAAATACAAGTCACCTGTAAAAGGATCCCTTTTACATTGCACTTTCATTTAAAAAAAATTTTTTTTTGTAGAGACAAGGTCTCACTATGTTGCCCAGGCTAGTCTTGAACTTCTGGCTTCAAGCGATCCTCCCACCTCAGCCTCCCAAAGTGCTAGGATTATAGGCGTGAGCCACTGTACCCAGCCTTTTGTATTTTTAAAATTTCTTTTTTTTATACTGCATTTTGTAGGAGCAATTTTGTTGAAAGTGGGCATGATCTGAGATGTAAAAGTATCTTTCATATTTGCAGTATTTGTTTATAGGTTTGCACATGATATTGATATTTATACAGTAAAACTGTCAAGCCCTGCTGCCACATATACTCTAGTTCACACAGATATGCTTTTTTTCTCATCCTTTTTCCAGGTTCAGTGATCCATTTGTGCTAAATGTGAGGAATTCTTTTGCAACCAACAAGCTATTTTATTAGCTGATAGTACTCCCCAATCTATAAACATTAAAAAGAGACTATCATTTCCTTTTTCACGAAAGAATGCCTTTCTAGGTCAAACTACAACCTATTGAATGGCACATGCTGAGCCCTCTCTACATCTTGCAGAGCTGATAGATAATATGTCTAACACATATAATGCTTGGCTGCTCTTGCATTTGGCTGGCTAAAAGGAAAATATAAAAGTCTATGCATCTTTCTCATTTATAGAATCTAAGGACTAGATTAATTCTACTGCTTAAAAATTCTACTACTTCAAAAATTTTTTGAATCATGAAAAGTTGTAGGATTTCTGCTTTTTGGTCTTGTCAACTGCTTCAAAACTATTAGAAGTGAGCTAGTGGTAATGAGAGCTAACA